TTTGCTGATAAATTGTCTTTTAGTATTTCTTCTGGTCCTTCGGTGTTTAACTAATGAATTATCTTGTGGTATTTCTTGTTTTATTTTAAATGCTGTTTTTGTTATATAGCTTTTTGTCAAGTAGTACTAAACTTTGCTCTAAACAGGTAAATAAAATTTTGAACCTAGTGACTATTTACATCTTGACTAGAGATAGGCAAAATAATATTTTTCTATACCATACATATGTATAGTATGCTGTATACATGTATGCATGCATACATATTATATGCATCATAGTTAAAAAAATATATACAATCTTTTAATAGTAAATAATTAGAGTAGCTATACAACATAGTTATACTAGAACCAGGAATGTAAAATATTTAAGTATAGCAATTATATATGATGAGATGAAATTTTTTGTAGATTTCATTTATTTTGCTGATACTCACTTCACTAACATATTGTTTTACTAACAATCAATTCACCAAAAATTATTTTACTATTTCACTAACAAAGTAATTCTAATCATTGCTATTAGGGTCAAGTTTAGAATTAAAGTTTAGTAAAATTTAAAAAAAAAACTAGTTGGTGAATTGATTGTTAATGAAATGATATGTTGGTGAAGTAAGTGTTAATGAAACGATACAGATTCTTTTTTGTTGTAGCAAAATAATCCAAGTTTGCTATGCGTTAAATTTATCAGATCGAGAGTCTTGTATTTGTGTTTTTAATTATATTTTATATATCGTTGTTGCTCGCTTTCCCAAAGCCCACTTTTTGAAATGATATTTCTCCAACTCTATAATTCTGATATCCCTTTTCCTGACAAGTCCTATTTTCAACAACTTATAGTTGTTTTTATAAATTCTGGAACAATGATAAAAATTGATCAATAAGTTTTTAAATTCTGTATTATCAGAATTACTATAATGCTAAAAATCTAATTCGAATTCAAAAACTTACCGAATACAGCCAAAATAATTTTTATCAATGGTTTCAGAATTTATAAAAACAACTATAATTTATCAATAGTTTATTTATTGATAGTTTATTTTACTGATAATCATTTTACCAAAAAGTAGTTTTGGTTATTGTCATTAGGGTTAGTTTAAAATTAGAGTTAAGGCTAGTTAATTTTTAGAAACTTGCTGATAAAATAAGCTGTCAGTGAAATAAACTTCTTGATAAATTAATTTTAGTAAAATAGCATAGATCCAATTATTCTATAGTAAAATAGATTTCAGTATTAAGCTTTCATTAAAATAGTATTTTAAGCAATAGACTTTAATAAGCCCAAAATTATTAAGATCGAATCACAGAATCTCAAGATCATTAAGGTTTTGTATCATTTTAGATATTCTGTGATTGGATTATAATAATTTTGGCTTGTTAAAATCATCTCATCAAGATAGTTATTTTAGTGATAAAATCAGTAAAAATAAACCTGTAGATTAAAAGTTATTTATTATCAAATTTCATATTTAACTAATTTTGTATGAATATATTAGTATAAAATTGCTTAGACTATGTGCATGTATGCATATATGCATGCATACATACGCATGGTGCCCATCTTTAATCTTGACCATATCAATCATGATGATAGTAGATAGAAGTATTAGCAAGACTAGTAAACTATTCTTGAGCATTATCCTTCATATATGTAGCGGCTAATTCTAAATATTAGACAGAGTTCTAATGGTTGATTTTGGCAACTCAGTCAAATTTTTTTAACCAAGTTATAGAGTCTTGGGTTCTATTACCACGATAAAAATCAATTTTGATAAGAAACTTTTTATCACCACATTTTAAAGTATTAGCAATAGTATTCATTGCTTCAGCAGCGCTTTAAGTGTAGCATCACCTGTGTTTTTTTCTTGTTCTGGTTCTTCATCAATTATAGTAGAATTTGTTTCTGCTTCAAAAGCTTGATTATTAGCTTCTTCTTCTCTTTCTTCTGGTATATCATCAATAAGATAAAGTTCTTGATCTGGTTCTATTAATAATGGTATAGTAGAGAGTTGTGGTCGAAGTTAAGGAGAAGTATTTAAAGAAGTAGTATTATGATCTAAATCACCTTGTAGATAAGCTTCAGATGCAAGAGAAGGATTAGTAGTAATAGTATGTGTTTAATAGGTATAATATAATTAATAAATTAAGCGAATAGGTGAGATTAGGCTCGAGGAGAGTTAGTTGCAATACGAGGAAGAGTAAGAGTAAATTATAAATCAACATTAGTAAAGAATAAATTAAAAATATTAATTCAAAAAGGAAATTGAATTTAAGAGGTATTTTTGTTGTAAGCAGAGATAACAGAGGTAGATTGGGTAGAAGTATCTTCTATTTCTTCAAGTTATAAAGGGTCAATAGAATGTAAGTCAGGTGAGTTTGCAAAATCAGAAGAGTTAACTTTACTTC